CGCAAACTGATGGTCAGAGCGAAAGAAGGATTCAGACGTTGGAAGATATGCTGAGAGCATGTACCCTCGAATTCCAAGGGAATTGGGACGAGCACTTACCTCTGGTAGAATTTTCCTACAACAATAGTTTTCACTCGAGCATCAAGATGACACCTTATCAAGCCTTGTATGGACAGAAGTGTCGTACGCCATCTTGTTGGCTAGAAGCTGGAGAGAAGCAGTTTATGGGCCCCGAGATAGTCCATGAGACTGCTGAGAAGTTGAAGATGATTAGGGAAAGAATGTTAGTAGCTCAGGTTCGTCAGAAGAGCTATGCTAACAAGAAAAGACGACCGATAACCTTTGAAGTTGGGGATTCCGTTTTGCTTAAAGTCTCACCATGGAAGGGACTTATACGATTTGGGAAACGAGGAAAGTTGAGTCCAAGGTTTATTGGACCGTCCAAAGTTCTTCAGAAGATTGGGAATCAAGCTTACAAGCTGGAATTGCGCGAAGAACTCAATGGTATTCATAACACCTTCCATGTGTGTTATTTGAGGAAATTCATGGGAGATGTTCCCGATATAATTCCAATCTCATAGTTAAGGTTGGATGAGAATAAAAGGCTGATCGAAGAGCCTGAGGCAATTGTTGACCGTAAGACTAAGAAGTTACGATGCAAGATGGTCGACTTAGTGCTAGTCCGATGGAAACATTCGAATGGGCCGAATCTCACTTAGGAAACAGAGGATGACATGATGAGTCGCTATCCACATCTGTTTGCTGATGCATGATTCCGGGAGGGAATCATCCTAAGGGGGAGAGAATTGTAACGCCTGGGTTTCAGGGCTAAGCATTTTTGTCAATGTAATAGTCTAGGTCAAATCTTGTAACTCTTTTTGAAGTAATAACGATGAAATATTTGAGTATTATGTGAATTATGTGTGTTTATGTGTTTATTATTTAATTATAAATGTATAATTAATAAAGAATAAAAATGAGCGTCAAAAATTAAAGTGTGAGATAATCCCGATATCTCTACATAAAGTTGTAGAATATGTCTCAAGGTTTCCGTACATATAAAGAACGTCGAAATCCGAGTTATAACGAAGAAGTTATGATCCGTCAAAGTTTCGCAATAGAACCGGCACGATACCGGGAAGCGTGAATAGTGAATTTACGATAGAGCGAGATTTAGCCTTAGCGATCTAAACAAAAGTCGTAGAATATGTTAAACTAAGAACATCGATAAAAAGAACGCCCAAATCTGACTTCGTATGAAGAAGTTATGAGATTTTAAACAGACCAATCATGTCCCGGCCTGTTAAAAATATAACTTTAAAAATAAAGTCAAAATTAGCCGACGGAGTCTAAACGAAAGTTGTAGAGTACGTATCCACCTACGCGTGGATATAAAGAACGTCAAAAACGGAGTTCGTATGAACGAGTTACAAATTATAATAGCATATTTACGTATTAAAATAAAGTATAAATCATGTATACGTACACATATATATACATATGTATATATCATTAGAAAGGTATCGACGATGCGGTCATTATAAGACTAATGTTGAGTTCTTTCGACATTAGTTTAGTACAAATATCATTAAATCCATTTAAAATAGTATTATAGAGGGGTGTTTAGTTGTTTATATAACTAAAAGGTCATTAAGTAATTATGGAGGGTAGTTTTTGAAAATTCAATTAGTATAAATAAGAGCCTTGGGCTCTCATATTTCTTGCACCATTCTCTTGATTCAAGAGTCTTTCTCTCCTTATCCCTCGAGCATTTCGGTCCCTCGTGATTCGACTTCTCTTTCTGTAGTTTAGTATAGTAAGGTGAGCGCTGAAGCGCTGCACGAATCTTTCTTAGAAAGATTCAGCGACGAAGTTCTGCCCCTGCAGAGCCCGACTCCTAGCTAAAACCCCCTTGTAAGTAAGTTATGCTTACCTTATTTTAATATAGCTTATATTTAAAATTAGTATTGTTATTATGAACTTATAATAAATACTTGGGCTATTATTATGGGTTATATAAGTATTTTTTTAACGCTTATAATATAATAATAATAATAATAGCTAGACTATTAATTAGTCTCGGCGAATAATAGACTAAACTCTAGTGGTAATAATACTAGGTTTCGTCGAAGAAAATTCTATTTAAGAAGCGAAGCGCTGTCTGAGTTCGGAATCACCACCTTTTCAAGTGAGTGCATAGTTACTTTCATCTTACACATAGATATGAAGTATTTTATATATTACGTGCTATGTGTGCATATTATCTGTATACTTGTTATCTATGCTGGATGAATGTTTTTATACAAGTTTTAAATGATTTAAACTGTATATGTATTTTATATCTACAAAAATGTTGGGGTAAAACATGGGTAGATGTAATGAGACGATGTGTGATAAAATGATGAGAGGCCTCAATGTTGTTGTTGTTGATTCAGTCATCTAGCGGAGTATAGATGACGACCACGGACTCTTCTAGACAGTCCAGTGGAACACTAGCAGGCTCGCAACCTGTAGGTGTTTGTGAACGATGTGTTCACCGGTGTACTCCATCCCCCACATGGTTGCCTTTAGGGCATTTATTGTTGAGGAACCCCCTTAGCAGTAGTGTCCGTTCCGATGATGATCCTTAGGATAGGTCCCTTGTGATAGGTGTTTAGGGACATAAAGTGAGGATAACGGGAACGGGTAATCGGGTTATTGTTGATTGATGAAATTAATAAACTTATTTATTGTGGGTTGAAAACCCTATGTGCTCACCAGGCTCCCAAGCCTGACCCACTCAGTTTTATGTATTACAGGAAGTGGCGGTTGAGCATAGATATGATGTTGGACGAGGGATTACGGATATAGGCATGTAGATATGAAATAATGTAGTAATGCTAATATTGTACTGTTTATACTTTTGATCTGTACGAGCATGACATCCCAAGTCTTTTAATGAAATACATTTCTATGGAAATGCTTTTGATAAATCTTTATCATATTATTGTTTTGGGACAAATTCCGCAACCCTTTTATTAAAAGATAACTCTGATTTTGAAATAAAGTATAAACAAAACCGGTCTTTTCTGGCTGTGATTTTGGAGATGTCACATACTCGCCGAGTTGTTCTTGAGACTCGGTGAGTTGAGTCGGGGTAGCCCCGCGATTCTTACCTGGGGACTCGTCGAGTAAAGGAAGGGAATCGACGTGTTAAATAGGACTAAAAGAGTTAAGTGGACACAGGTGGACTCGCCGAGTCGGGTCAAAGTTTGACCGTTGATTTTGGTTGACTTTTAGGGTTTGGTCAACAATGAGGGCCTTTAAGCCAAGGAAGGGGTAAAATGGTCTTTTACCCTTCTGAGAGTGCTTAGAGAGAGTAGAGTCTAGTTCTGAGAGTTATATTTATGAAAGTATTACTTTATGTGTTTAGCCGGAGGCTAGATCGCATTCCTACCGAGTCAGTGATTTACCGGGACATCTGAGGTGAGTCTTCTCACTATACTTTACCTTGAGTGGTAATAGAGTTATGTGCCAAAGTTATTGTATGCTATTTATGTGATGTGTTGCACTGCATTATTTCTATGTGATTTATGTCGTGTGTATATGAGAGTTATAACCGGAAGGTTCACAGAGCTAGGACCAGAGAGTCCACAGAGTTAGGGCCCAAGGGCCCACAGAGTTATAGCCTCGAGTGGCTAGTATGCGTGATGTGTTGTATTTTGGGGAACTCACTAAGCTTTACGCTTACAGTGTTATGTGTTATGTGTTTCAGGTACCAGTGATGATCGCGGGAATGCGCCGACATGACTCGTATACACGCATGGATTTTTATGTATTTGATCTTGGGAACTATTTTTGTGAACCAAAGTATTGATACAATGGGATTTTGTTTTAAATGTGTTTAAAAATGTGAAAATTTGTTTTAAATTTTACGGTGTTACAATTGGTAGTATTAACAACATGCTCTAGTGAAGATGCAACAGTTGTAGTGTTAAAGTGAGGAGGACGAGGTGACCATGAAGTAGGACCTCAAGGAGGTAGCTAAAATGATCCAGATAGTATGTTTTTGGTATGGAAGTCGTCGTCGTTGTTGTTTTCCTTTGTTAATAAATAACGAACACTTGAATTTCCAATGGTTATTTTGTTACGTAAATCACGTTCATCATAATCAGATTTAGAAGTTGGTATGTTGCGGTTTGTAGTGAGAGATCATTGTAGGACAACAAAAATAATCAGGGAAGTAAATGGTTTAGATTCTTTGCCGGCCTAAGGTTTAAGACAGTCTTTTCTACTATCCTTTCATGAACAACTAAATCAACCCTTAGAATTGAAGTATTCATCCATATAATAATTGTAGAGTTACCAATCTCCTAAAACTCAATAGATATTACAAAAATGGATAGTTTTCTCATATGTAGGTTTAACTTGTGTAGTGATAACATAACCTCCTATATACTTCCTACGTAGTTTTTCATAATCTTAGACAATTTGGTTGACATTTTTTACAATTTAAACTCTGGCATCAAGCTCCATTTTTTTCATTTAAATGAGCTTTAATTTGCATCAACAAAGACTAATTAAATCACTAAGTAAGAGTTTCATCTAATATACGAAGAGCTTATAAAAATAGTTTTTTTTTTTTTTTTTTTGTAACGGCAAAACTATTATTAAACTTCTAGCAAAAAGCTAGAGGCAAAAGAAAGCAAACAAAATACAAGACATAGGAAACCAAATTACATGACAACCCAATGGAAAGACACCAAAATTCATTGTTCATATTTCATTCCCTTTATATTAATATATTAACCCATACGAAAGTTAATATTTTTATGTCTTCAAACACCTTGGTTGGGGAGGAGTGAAATTGTTAAAGAGAAAGATCATTCCTAGCTCTCCAAACTCTCCATAAAATAGTGCTTTTTTGTTAAAGCCAAATCTTTTTGTGGTTTTATCACTTGTACAAGTAGATAAAACCTCAAAAAGTAGAAGGATATAAAACGTATGTTACGAAACTACAAGGAAGAAAAAGGAAATAAGAAAAGTCTGTAAAATCATCCGCAAAAATGGTGGCTTAACGAACTAAACAGAAAATGGCGTTAATTTTCCCCTCATCTTCAACCTTCATCAGTTTCAGCCACAAATCCCGCCATCAACTTCACCATCTGACCGCCATTAAAGCACAGAACACGTCGTCATCACCAGAGTCTGCCGAATCAAGCGATGAGACCTCTTCGTCCCTCAAATCCGAGTCACCTCCCCTAGGGTTTGGCTCGACTTCTTCCGTTTCTACATCATTTCCGGTGAAGAAGCAGAAAGGTAAGAAGGAAAGAGCTCGGATTATTCGCCGAGATCCTGTTGAAACTCCTAAATTTGCTTCTCAACAAGCGGAAAGAGGAGGAGAGGCGTCAAATGAGCAGGGCATCAATGAGCGCGCTTTTCTTCTTGCTTGGTTAGGGCTAGGTTCGCTAATTATTTTTGAAGGGCTTGCTCTTGCTGCTTCAGGTATTGCAAATTATAACTTCGAATTGAAATTAAGCACAATCAGTTATAGTTATCAACCAATTGGATTTTATTCTCACCAACTTAGTGTTAAGAATTTAGATCGAGTAAACTAAATATTTCTTCCACGAATCTGAACAGTTCTGACAAACTAAACCTAGGAGCTGCATATATGTTTGTTAGCACCTTGCACTTAAATTTGAAGAGAGGAGGAGATTGAACATTGTTGATCTTTATCCAAGTTCTATGATTTTTCTTGAACAATCTCAAATGACGATTTTGTAGTTCATCCCTCTTTATCTTCTACCATATTGGGATCAAAAAGGGGGAAAGTGGGGATGATTTGAAGAATGGAATAGCATGACATTTTATTATATTCATGATTTGTGTTCTGGGCTTGATTGTAATGCTTTGTGTGTACAGGTTTCCTTCCTGAAGAATGGGATGCTTTGTTTGTGAAGTATCTTTATCCATCATTTACCCCAACTGTGTTCTTGTTTGTTGCTGGAACAGTTGTCTATGGAGTCGTTAAGTATCTGGAAAATGAGAAACCCAATAGCTCAAATTGATCTTGCATGTAATCTTATACTTTATCTTTATATAAAGGGCTAAATGTAATAAAAAGCAATCTACTTTCTATTTTTTCTCTCATTATAGCAATGAGTAAATTGCTACCTGTTGTACCAAATAAGTTCTTTTATTAATTAATTCTTTTTTATGTCATCGGAGCTTGAAGCATGTGAGATTCAAACATATATCGAGTCAATTTCGTTTTGGATAAATGATCATCTGTCATATTGGTATAATTCAAACTAGAAAAGTAGGCTTAGTGACTTGATATGCTACAAAACTTGTTCAATGCATATAATAAAAAAGTGACATTGATAGTTGGTTACTCATCCAACGCCTAGCCCAAAATATAACATATAGAATGAAAGAACTTAAAATTTTATAATACATTTTTTTTTTTAAATTAATAGCTAGCATTAAAGTCGGTTTTTTAACCTAAACTCAAATAAATTGGGCCTAACCAGCCCTTGAAACAAACATAGCCATTTGTAGGCATGCAAAAACCGGTTTTTTTTTATGAACCGGACCGGTTCAGAAAACCGGTTCGGTTCAAGTCCAAGTAGTCAAAACCGGTTCACACCAAAACCGGTTCGGTTCCAAACCGGTTCACACCAAAAAATATCCGAACATATGTAAACCGGTTCGGTTTATTAGAAACCGGCTCAACGAAAACCGGTTCAGAAAATCGGTAAAAAACTGGTTCAAAACCGGTTCGACGCAAATAAGGTTTTCTAATTTTTTTTTTTGGGCTAATAAGTGGAAAATAGGAATGGTTCAAAACCGGTTCGATGCAAAAAACCGGTTCAAAACCGGATCAAAAAACTGGTTCAAAAAACCGGTTCTCAAAAAACCGGTTCGAAACCGGATCACACGGTCAAAATAGCGAATTGGTTCGGTCTGGAGGTTCGGTTCTTCGGGGGTTCGGTTCATGCCTGAACCGGTTCGGAGGTAAACCGGTTTCCGGTTCACTGACCGGTTCGGTTTGTGAACCGGTTTTTTTGGTCACCTCTAGCCATTTGCTTCAAAACGTGGCCCGCAAATTTGTCCAAACAACTACAAAGTAATTCATTTTTTTTTTTGGGAAAATGATCTATAAAAGTAACGTAGTTTTTGATTTGTATACGATAGTCCGAATTGTTTTTTTTTCCTTGTAAAATAAGTCATTTAACTTATTGTTTTGTATATATTCGGTCTTTATGACCTACTACTCCAAGTTATAACAAACATGGTTGCTCCAGGTTAAGTTCTCAATCCATACACATTTAGTCTTTGATTTTTTTTGTTGCAAAATAAATCCTTGTTGTTTGTGTACACATTTAGTCCTTATGACATGTTTTATTTAGGTTTTGCTCACATGACATCCTACGTATTCCCTCACTCATATTAATAACCTATTTCACGAACCGGTCAAATAACGATGGTGCCCTAGTTTTCTCCAAGAAGAAGATGTATTTGGTTTCAATTTCATTTGACTCCATAGCAAACAATGAGATTTTTTGTGATTGCTTTCTCCCAACTCGAATTAGGACTTCCAAGACAAAACAACACCATAAAAAAAGTTTAGAGTCTTCCCTAAATAAGTGGAATGTCAATTTTGACCATTTTCCTGGAAATGAGTTTTTTTTTATTATTTTTTTCAAATTAACCCAAAATTTTAAAGATGAGTTCGTGTGTAACACAAAATGATTGCTATTATTATTAATAGTATAACCAATTGTAATTAATGTTAACACTATCTCCAACAATTGAAATCATTATGACTAATGTATTTCTTCTCCTGATGTAATGTAGTTGATATTGCTATTGAATAAAATTTGTATTGGTATTAAATATAGTTCGTATTGTACTATCATAATTACAAATATCAATAATGCAATGATATACCAAACCCATGACATGTAACACATGATACCAGTGTTTAGACGAGCCACATATGAGAATATGTCATTAATTATTGTCCAACATAAGATGACACGTGAACAAACTCTGAAGAAACACATCTTAAGGATTGAATATATACAAAAACAACAGAGACTTATTTTGAAAAAAAAAAACATCAAGAACCAAATTGAAAACTTAACTTGTAGTAGTTGGTCATAAAGATTGAATGTAAACAACAACAACAATAACTTCAAGGGCTTATTTTACATCTTTTGCATATGTTAGACAAAATTAGCAGCTGGTGGTTTACTTGCATATTTTGAAAAAAATAGTTATAAGGTTTTGAAAGATATACAAATGACATAAATTATGAAAGATCTAAGAAACTATTTAAAGTAGTTTTTGAATTTAAAGTTTTTGTTTAAATTAAAAACTTTAAGTTCAAACATCCAAACAAAACTTTTTCTTGAAGCATAAACTTTTTCTTTAAGCATAATTTTTGAAATCCTATATATTTTTTAAGATCCATCTACAATTTCATCTTTGCTATAACGTTTTTTTTTTCATTTATAAAAATAATAACATTGAATTTTTAATTATATATTTTAATGTTTTTGAGAAAAAGACATATTTAACTAAAATCATTAATCATTTCTCAAAAAATACAAAAGAATAAGAAAATGATCCACATAGTAAAGAAAACGTCTGTGACACCTCTTTGTCTGCGATTTAACCAAATGGCCTGCAATTTCAAGGGCCCATCTACAATTTCATATTTGCTGTAAAAAATATATTATTTTGGCATTTGCAAAAATGGCATTCCCATCTGTGATTTTCTTTTCTGAAAACTATAATTTTATCATTGATTTTTTTATGAAGAAAAGAAATCTTCCATCACGTTTGTATGATTTTTTAATACACGGAAATGTGCATTAAAGACTTATACAATTGCATATAAGAAAGTCATTTATGATTTTTTTTGTTCAATGTGTTATCGTACAATATTTTAAAGCATAAGGCACAAGTATTTTTAGCTTTAAAAGAATATTTAAGAAGATAGACAAGTCATTTGTGCACAAATTATACAAGTCATTATTGCACAAATCGTACATTAAGTCTTGTATAATCGTAGATAGACAAGTCATTTGTGTTTTCCTCTCAACCAATACAAGTTTTAATGCATAAAATACAAGTTCTTAAAGCATTAACTACAATGTGTTTTAAAAACAATTATATTTTAAAAATTACCTTATAAAATGCAAACAAAATAACTAAAAATCAGATCATTTACAATATTATTAAAGGCAATCCGGTTTTAACCATTGGAAAGAATTCATTGAGACTCAAAAAGTGAAAATAAGGCTAAATTTGTTTTTTAAGGGTTTAAACACATTGGATAGCCATGAAATCATAGATGAATCGTGAAATTACGGGCAGGACATGTCATATACGGTTTCTTTAGCTATTTAGGTTATTTCCTTAATTTTTGACTATTTTGGTAAATGTTTAAGGTTTTTGCTCGTGTTTTTTTATGTCAATTTACATTTGTCATCTAACTTATCAACTAATTTTTATCAAACACTATTACTTGATTAATTTGTAAGACAAAAGGTATTTTCTTTGGCTTATAGCTAACTTTTCGACTAGTTTTCCAAACAAAACTTAAACAACTATTAAAAATCTGTCAATACCCATTATTCTTTACAATTAAACACATCAAATTCCATTCCGTATTGTATGTACACATTATAAATACTCATTTACCTCTAGTCACAACTCAATTGGGTGTTGCACCACGTTTGTTTGTCTTGTATGTGTGCTTATCTCTCTTTTCATATACTTGACATCATTTTGTATACATTTGGTCGGTGCACCCTATCTCAACTTCCATTGTGATGGCACCAGTGCATCCCCAAGCCCATTCACCAACACCTTTGTTCCAAAAAGAAGTCAATTTGCAACAACTTTACAACAATCTTTCTTTGTCATCCATTTATGGTTTTGGCCTTTTGGGATTGGATGATTATGTATTGATTCAGTGGTCCAGAAGCAGGGGTGGGGGTCTGAATTACTTAAGCACATGGACTGTTGGCCAGTTAGGTTAGGTACCTACAAGTAGATACATATAGCTAGAGTGGTCTCTTGTGTACAATGATTTGCTCTTTTAAGTTTCTCTATAAATTAGCAACACATATTAGAGATCAAACTAGCTTTTAAATCGTTGTGTTTTTATTAAGACATAACTTAATTCAATAAATGCTTAACAGAGAAAGCACAACTTAATTTTTAAAAAATGATTAAAACGGACCTTTTTTTTGCATGAAATTCTATCTTTTTAAAATTTGTATAGTCTTTCCTTTCCCTTTCACATTTATGCCATCATTCTTTTAAATACCATTTTTTAAACCATGGTCTAGGCTTAACGAGAGCTTGATTGGTTTAGGATATTTCACTTTTCATGCTCCTTAATTGATCGAATTTTGATTTTGACACTCTTCTCGATTTTTTATTTATTTCACTTTTTTTTTTTTTTTTTTTTTTTTGAATCCTTGCAACAATTATGAGTCATTTTCAATTAAATCGCCCTATGTCCTATGACCAATAGCATTTTATATTATGGTTTCCATTGATTGCTTTTGTATCTATTTATAGAAGTTGATCTACAACTAATATCATATAAGATACAATAAAGAAATATTTTACTTTAATATTAAGTATGTCATTTTCGATAAAATACGACAAAGGAAGATGTTACTTTAATGGCATATGTAATCTTTTAATGAAAAGTGGAAATTAAGTCAAATTGGAATATTAGTTGACAGCTTTCTTATCTTATAATGATGACAAAAATGGTCAAATTGAGGTTCTAAAACCTCCCATTAATTATTTTATCTGCCGTACAAAAAAATATTTTATCTAAATTTTCACTTTAAATACATTCTATAATCCTTTAATATATTTTGTATAAAATATATTTGTTTGTGATGTGTTTATTCACTTGATTACAACATATAGCAGAAAATGTTTTATTTCAAATATTTTTATTAGAAACGAAATAAAATTTTTGATGAAGGTAAATCAATGTCATCATGTAACAAAGAATAAACATCTTAATTGATATCTAACATCCAAAAGTACGAATGAGCTAAATAGAGTTAATGTAAGCACAATTGCATATTAACTGATGTACTCTTCAGAACACTATTGGTTCATTTATCGCGGCATTAAGTAACATGCCTTGATTTAATGTTATCATTGTTGGGTATAATTTTAAATAAAAATAGAGTTTATCCAATCGAAATGTATGTAAATGAAACAAATATATACGACGTTTTGGAAAAAATAGTTGTTAGCTGGAAGCGTATAACGGGTAGTTGATAGCGGAAAGTTATAACTTTTATTTGTTATATAAGTGTTTGGCAAAAGTATCTGGAAGCTTTTGAAATGGAAGATAATTTGTACACAACAATTTTTCTCCATATACAACAATTGATGCTTTAAAACGTTGTACTGTACAACTCTATAATGCATAAATTATTGTGTACGGTAAAAAAATGTTGTGGACGAATTACTTCCCTTTTGAAATATATAAAATTACATAAAAAGACAATTGATTAAAAATAAATAAATATATAAATATACTTTTAAGGGTAATTATGGAAATTGATTTCAAAAGCTCAGTAACGTTTTGTTAAACGCTATATGAAGTAGTTTTTAAATTTGGAGCATTTTATTTAAACTAAAAGTTAAACGCTTATACTACCAAATAAAACTTTTTGTTTAAATTAGAACGGTTTGTCAAAATTTAAAAGTTAGAAACTCCCAAACGCTTCCAAAAGTTCGGTATCAAACACACCCATAATATATATTAACCCGCTAAAACCCAAATATAACAATTAAAAAAATGGTTATAAAAAGTAAATAAATTAAAAATAAACTATCAATCAAGCATTAAAGTTAAATTAGATTGAGAACCACCGAAATATTTTGGGGACCAGTCAAGTACGCCAATTCACGGGCGGAATTATAGGAGAAAAGGGGATAGAACGAAATATTATATATTTCGTATGTCCTGTGATAAATAATTGTATCTGATATATTTTAGAATTGACTAATCAATAAAAACATATTATATATTTTTCTATAAATAAAGTATAAATTCTACTATAATAAAAGTAATTATTTAACTAAAGAAATATAACTAAAAGATCAAAAATATTGCTCCAGTGTTAGATGGTGTAAGACAAATAAAAAAACATATGATATTGGCCAAAGAAAAAATAATATGGTATCGAGATGAAATTGAAAAAGCGTCTAATCCAAAACAAAGGTGGCGGAAAAGCAGCAAATCGGCGCCTAAAAAGCATCTATTCTTTTTACCTAATAAATAACAAACTAAAACAATAACCCACACTCCTCTGTACTTTTATTTTTCTTTTTTAATCACCATTTATAGTCATCTATGTGATTTTTATGTTTAAAATGTGAAAATTTCAAAAGAAACAGAAAAACGAACATTTAAAACCATAAAAAGACTAAACAAATTTATTTTGATATTTTAATCTTACAATGCAATATTTATTTAAGTCTGAGTTTTTATGATAATTAACTTCAAACAAGACTAAGGAATAAAATCATAAAATGACCATGTATTTTCATATATACATAGTAATAGCATTATAAAAATGTCTCTATTACGTTCAGCTAAACGTGTTCTTTTTTATTAGTTTACCAATATTTTAATGTAAGGCAATACCTACTACTAACTACTTGACTATTTGCACAACATATTATTTGAAAACCAATTACATACACTATCGTTGGTGCTATTATAGACATCACTTAACAAGGTCTTGAAAATGATCAAAATGTTATAGTTCTCACTTTTCATTATTTAAAAAGTTGGTTAGGATCTCATATATTAATCTACTTATACATATAATGTTAATCATCAATGAAAAGACACAATTAATCCAAGAATCTAATGTACACTTGTGCTATAAGACTACCCTTTCGGTCTCACCATCCATCCATAAATTAAAAGAAAATCAAAACTAAATAATATTTAGTGATATGGGTCGCGTACACAACCCAATATCGCCATAGCTTACCTCTTTTTAATAATATTACTTTAGTGGTGGAGTTAAATTACTATTGTAATTAAAACTAATTTTGTTAGTAATTGCTTTTTATTTTGAATAAAAAATAAATAAAATATATCAAAATACGTAATTAATTTTTCTCTACGATATGATACCAATATCGATATTTTTTTCTTTAAATATTTTTTTAATATAGATTTGGATTGGGTTGGATTGCTAATGGGAATAAAAGATTGAGTTTAATTGAGTTGTGGATGATGAAGAGAGAGAAATTAATTTTTTAATATATGACTGAGTTAGAATGGGTTGTGAATGAGGATAATCTAAGAGCAAGAACATGTACACTACTAGACCATATACTCCGCTACCACCACACTCCCATTTAAAGTAGTACACAATATCAAGAACCCATGAACTTCATTCTTGATGATTTCTTATCTTCTCCTCTATTTGATCCTTCAATTCCCTCAACCCTTGATCAAGAATCTTTGTTCCTAGGTCGATTATTCTCCAGTTTCCTCACTCAAATTCACCTTGGGTGAATTTAATGTAAAAGCACATGGCTTGAGTATTTTCATAAGTATAATGCCTAAATTGGAATGTCTAAAAAGTTACGATGCATGAATTTGTCTATTGTCAAAGCACACGACTCATGGGAACCCAATAGCCTTCCTTGAAACCCATGGCTCTTGTGTTTTGCATTTACAAATAGCATACGGCACGCATAGTCTAATGTCCTTTTGAAGCCAAATTATTCGTTTTGCATCTAAAAATTCAATAATTTTACTCAAGTTTCCTTACATTATCCTTGATAAGTTCTAATCTTCAAATGCACTTGAAATTCCATAAAAAAAACGTAGAAGCCAACGTGCTCATCACAATTCATAAAGTTTATTGTAAAACGAGTAATATGCATTAATCTATAATTGAAGAGTGATACGTATCTAAGATGGTATTCTAGACCACCCCCATGGCCTGACCCGTACAAGTCTTGAAGCAGAAAGCTTGAACACACGTTGCATGTGGACGACCAAGTCAAATTTCCATTTGCAAAAAGAAGTAGTTTTCTCAAGTTAGGGCTCACCCACATTTCAGTTCAGTATGCATGTTTCCTTATTTCTAGTTAGCAAGTTATTTCATTTCCTATAAATAGTAATCATCGTTGGCATGGATATTAAGCAAAAAAAAAAAAATTAATGAAATTATTATGTTATTTTAGTCTATCTTTTTCATCTTAATTATTGGGAGATTAACAATCTCAAATTGGCTTCTATGAGTGGTGCCTTCATTCTTATTCATCATGCCTCCCCGCGAAGATCTGTTAACCGATAACACACCGCCAACTATCCACGAGAAACTCTCCACACTCATTGCTATTTCCACCGTCTTGATGCAGTTATCACACAAATGACCACCATCAACACCCTTATGATCTGAATTCAAACCGAAACCATGGCCAAAATTATGTCGCCTCCGCCTCCGCTTCCACCACATAATCAACAACGAATGTCGTTGCCACCACAATTACCAACAACAACGTTATCCACACCGCCACTGCCACAACCACTAGGGATGAGCATAGGCGGGTACCCGCCTCATTTGGCGAGAACCGAAACCAGAACCGGCGGTTCCTAGAAAGTTAGAACCAGAACCGGAACCGTTCTAGGCGGTTCTTAAATTTTTGGAACCAGTCCCGGAACTGGCGGTTCCAGTTCCGGAAGCGAGTAACCCGGCTACATTAACTCTGTTAACTTTTATCGATAAAACCGCAACTTAGTTCGATCCAAATCGAATCAATTCAGACCAAAAAGGGACAGAATGAGACCAATATATTCTAAACCGGTGTAAGTAACACACATATATTTATATGAAACACTTATATATATATATATATATATATATATATATATATATATATATATATATATATATATATATATATATATATAAACCGGTTTCGGCGGGTACCCATCGAGTAGCGGTTCCGAAAAAAATAAGAATTGGAACCAGAACCGCTTAAGGCGGTTCCATAACTTTAGGAATCGGAACCGGAACCGCATAAGGCAGTTCTAGTTCCAGAACCAGCAGTTCCGAGGCGGTTCCGATTCCAAAAGCGGGTACACAGTTCCGATGCTTATCCCTAACGGCCACATCTGCCTAAAAAACCATTGCAATTGCCCATGTCAACATCCAGGCAATTTCGACTCGTCACATTTCCACCGTTACCGTAACTGCCGCCGTCGAAAGTAACATCCAGGCAATTTCAACTCGTCACATTTCAACCGTTCAATCCACAGTTTCCCGCTCCTGTTGTTGTATGCACCTGTATGCAGGACCTTGAGGACAAGGTCCATTTAAAGGATGGGGGAATTGATACGTGTCTAAGATGGTATTCTAGAGACAAAACTGCAAATTTGGTCCTTGTGGTCTGCCAAAACCTTTGGATGGGGTCCAAATAGTTTCCAGCTTGCACCATAGGTCCAAAATCAAGGTTTTCATGGGTTTTTAGTCCATTCCGCCATTGACCGTTTGTTTGGAGCCGTTAGTGCCTTCACGTGCCCTCCATGTGAGGGCATTTTGGTCATTTTAGGTCCTAGCCTCCGTTGCCGCCACTTCAATTAACAAGATTGCAGACTGTACTCACTCCTTCGTCTTCTACTCATACCTCTTGATTCAAACACAAAAACCCTAACGATCGTCTGAAAATTGGATTGTGTTCATGCTTTTGAAAATGTGGGGACTTAGAAATGTTGGAGAGATTGTCAACGTTCAAGAAGTTTATGGTAAGATTCAAACTTAGAAAAACTCTGTATTTTATGATCAAGCTTCAAACCTTGAAAAACTCTAACTAACAATCGTCTCTTTCTGTTTTGAAGATGGGTACCCCAACATATTCTCTATTGAACTTCATCACGGAGGGAGTTTCACAAAGTTTCCAAATATCAGGTATATTAATGTCCAAGTAAGGTACTTTGATGTTGTCGACATTGATGAATTTTCTATTCATGAACTAGACTTGATGATGAGAGAATTAGGGTATGATGGTACTGAAATCATGTATTACCATTTCCGTTTACCTAATGAAGGATTTGACTTTGGACTCCGAGCATTAGGTAACGATGATGATGTGCGTAATCTCTCACGGTATGTTACCCATAATAACAAAATGATTAAAGTGAACACAGAGCATGGTCAAACGAACTTGCTTACATATTTTATGTCCCCAACTGGTCCAAGAAGGGTTATAATAGAAGACATGGAGAAGCTGGATTCCATTAGACCCTCATCACCTGTAGTTGCTCATGAAGTGGTAACTCCAATCCAAATTGATGTTGGTGAGGGTGATTTAGGGTTAGCATTAACCTTGTACAAATCATCAACACCTGAATTTAGTAGGTGTAAAGGTTGGAAACATAGTAAAGGGGCATCGTCTTGTAGTAGAAAGCTTAACTTGGATTGGGAAGGTGCTGAAAAAACAATGGAAAGTGGTGAAGTTGACAAGGGTAAGGGTGTAGAAGGATTTGTTGATGAATTTGTTGTAGTTGATGCAGAAAAAGAGTTAAACAAAGAGATTGATGTGAATGAAGAACTTGATGTGAACAAATCCAATGGTGAGGGTGTAGAAGGATTTGCAGATGAGGGGTATAGAGTTGTCATGGATAATGATCCTCAAGGAGTCAATGAATTTTCAACTAACATCAACATAGATGATGAGTTAATGACAAACTTTCAACCTTTTGAAGGGTTTGAAGACCAAGATAGCATCCCATTTAATGGGTTTGAAGGCCAAGATAATATTCCTTTCAATGATGAGTGGAGACAAGAGGAGCCTGATGACATTGAGTTTGAGAATCAAAACAGTGAAGATGAAGATAGTGACTTTATGATTGATGAGGACAACATAATTGAAGATGTTGACGTTGACATGGAGGATTTTAATCTAAATATTGATACAGAAGCAGAGTTCAATGGATGTCAAAGAATGGGTGGTCAAAGAAATGAAGATAGTGATGAAGAAGATGATTTGGAGGTAATTGACAATGACGAGTGGGATTCACTAAGTGATGACTCATGGGACAAAAGGAAAAGAAGAGAAATGATCAAAGAGCTGGGGAAACAAACCTTATGTTCTGCTGGTGAGGTGCACAAGGTAGCTTTTCATATTGGGCAGAAATATAAAGCCAAGAAAGAATTGAAAGATAAAATTGACCTGCATGCTTTAGAGACAAGGAGGAATATCTCATTCACAAAAAACGACAAGAGTAGATTAACAACTGTTTGTGATGGAACTGTAGTTTTAAATGCAAATGGGGTAGGTGGACCTACCTCTGGGAAAAAGGTAAAGGGTAAAGATGTAAACTCAGATAAAGTTAAATGCACATGGAAACTTCATGCATCTAGGTCAAGTGAACAGGACTATTGGTTTATTAAGACCTATAATCAGAAACACATCTGCCTCCAAACACAAAAAATTAGATCTTGCACAACAACATTTCTTTCTAAACGTGTTATGGATCAGATTGAAGCTAATCCTGGACTGCCTGTTCGTGCCCTACAAGAGCAACTCCAATCAACTTATGGAGTTAGTATTTCAGAAGAAAAAGCATTTAGGGCAAAAGCATTAGCCACCAAAAATGTTGCAGGGGATTAAGTAAAGCAATATGAAGCTTTGAGAGACTATGTACTAGAGCTACAAAAGACAAATGAAGGTACAACTGTAAAGATTGATGTGGTTTCAGAACCTGTGGTTTCATCCTCAACCAGGCAATTCAGAAGGATATACGTGTGTTTAGGTCCTTTGAAGAAAGGTTTTAAGGCAGGTTTGAGAGAATTTTTAGGCTTAGATGGAGCCTTCATGAAGGGACCTTTCCCAGGTCAAATACTAAGTGCAATTGGTGTTGATTCCAATAATGGAACCTACCCATTGGCATATGTTGTTGCTGAAAGTGAAAACACTTCAAGTTGGAAATGGTTTCTTCAGTGTCTTGCAGAAGATCTTGACTTGTATTCAAATTCCAACTTCACCTTTATCAGTGATAGACAGAAGGTACTATAGTTACATTTAATATTGCATACTAGTTTCATTACAAACTAATGCTAATTTCTTATTTTGTTTTGGTGACAACAGGGTCTTCTACCAGCCATAGAACAATTGTTCCCTAATGCAGAACACAGGTTCTGTATTAGACACATATACCAAAACATGAGGAAGTTATTTAAGACTACAGAGTACAAGGAGTATTTTTGGAGGTGTGCTACAGCCACCACCATACCAAAGTTTGAAGCTGTAATGGTAGAGCTAAGGAATTATGACATAGAAGCATATCAATGGCTCTTGAAAATCCCTCCACATCATTGGGTAGAAGTCATTTTTCAGGTATTTTCTCAATTTGTTGTCTTATTTTCTATTGTAGTATAGATATACATTAACTGTTGTTTTGTTAATAAACTATTAGGAAGGGCAGTTTCAGACATGTTATTGAATAACCTTTGTGAAGTGTTAAATAGCAAACTTGTAAAAGGGAGAGATAAACCCATTATCAGTTGTTTGGAGTTCATCAGAGAGTACCTTATGAAGAGAGTATGCAATGTGATGAAGGTGTTAAACAAGTGTCAAGGTCCATTAACTCCAACTGGTACTAGGATTTTGGAAGCAAACACAACACTAGCTAGTAAGTATCATGCACGATGGAATGGGGGACAAAAGTATCAGGTTAAAGGTCCATGGAATGATCAACATGTGGTGGACATGGAGAAAAGGGAGTGTAGTTGTAGAAAGTGGGAGCTTACTGGAATTCCTTGCAAACATGCTATTGCAAGCCTAAATGAAATGGCAGACAACAATGAAAAGGTAGGAGAACTATACACCTATGTGCATAAGGTGTATTGGCTTGATACATGGAAAGAGATGTACTCCTTCAAGGTGGAGCCTATCAAAGGTAGAGCCATGTGGCCTAAGAGTGACTGCCCAACAACTCTTGTGCCTCCACCACACAACAAAGCTATAGGCAGGCCAAAAAAGAAAAGAAGGATTACAACAGAGGAAAGGATTGAAATCCAGCAACGTAAGAGGCAAGCAAACAGTCAAAGTCAAAATGATAATGAAACTCAATCACTGAGCAGGAAGTTTTTGACTGTGACATGTAGTAAGTGTAAGCAAAAGGGTCACAATGCCAGGACCTGCAAGGCCAAAGATGGGAATTGATGTTTAAGTACTTTTTATGTTTGTCAAGACTTGTTAATGCACTTTAGTTGGTACTTTGTTGCCTTTTTTTTGTTCCATTTTGATAATGTACTTTGATGCCCTTTTGATAATGTACTTTAATGCCCTTTGTTGGTAATGATTGTGTTTTGGCATTTATCTGTTATGGTCCCCTTTTGGTAATGTTGTTTGTTATTTATTTATGTTGTACTGTCAAAGCATGAAGATGTTATGGCAATGTACTTAATGTATGCATATAAAACCATTACAATTGCATATTCAAACGTAGAGAAAAACCATTACACTTGCATATCATGTCAAGATCAAACCTTTATAATTTCATATTCATAAAAGGATAAAACCATTACACTTCCCATTGTCATAAAAGCATTACATATACAATGATCCAAAAGACAACACTTTTAAGTGGTTACTACCAACAAAAACATATATAAACCACAATTAAACCTTCTAGCACCAAAAGACAACATTTTTAAGTGGTTACTACCAACAAAAAAGTCCTAACCTCTAATTCCTATTTCCAAAACAGCACAAACAACAGAAATAAAACCCACGAGACAAGCAAACACATCTTCAACTGGCCCACTTCAACCTCATACCTATTCATTGTTCTCAACAGTCCTGGTATGATAACAGTTGATCTTTGACACATAGGGGGATCGAACCACCCCAAAAATGCACATCTGGATCCCTATAAGAATACATTAAAGTAGAAGAGTTATTGCATAACTACCGAAATATCATAACCTAATATGAGTTTGCTTACCATTTTAGGGCATGCATAGAAACGACGATCAGGGTTTCGTGAAGTCCATGAGGTTCGCACAACAGCAACGTTCCCACAGAAGCAGAGCACCATTTTTGAATCTCGTAGCAGTAGAAGTAAACGAGAGACGAAGAAGAAGAATCCTTTGAGAGACGAAGAAGAAGCCCTTTTTGCTGCTTCTCTGTAAATAAAAATGAAGAAGAAGAAGAGGATTGCGTATGAGTATGTATATAAAGGAGAAATATGATATTATTTAAAATAAGTACCTAAAATAACCAAAATGCCCTCACATGGAGGGCACGTGAAGGCACTAACGGCTCCAAACAAACGGTTAATGACGGAATGGACTAAAAACCCATGAAAACCTTGATTTTGGACCCTTGGTGCAAGCTGGAAACTATTTGGACCCCATCCAAAGGTTTTGGCAAACCACAAGGACCAAATTTGCAGTTTTGTCTATTCTAGACCACCCCATGGCCTATGTCGTACAAGTTTTGAAGCAGAAAGCTTGAACATACAACGATTGAACACATGTTGTATGAGGAAGACCATGTTAATTTTCCATTTGCCAATAAAAATAGATTTCTTAAGTTAGGGCTCACCCACGTTTCAATTCATTTCCTTATTTCTAGTTGGCAAGTTATTTCCTTTCCTATAAATGGTAATCATAATGGTAATCATCGTTGGCATGAATATTAAGTAGAAAAGTTTTTCTTTTTTAATCCTGAAAGAGTATTAAGTAGAAAAGTTAATGAAATTGTTATGTTAATTTAGTCCATCTTCTTTCATCTTAATTTTTTGGAGATTAGATATCTCAAATTGGCTTCTATCAAAGAGCTATGTAAATACATGAAATAAACGTGCAAATAGATGTATAAAATACATGTAACACACTTTTTATTGATGTAATAATGAAAACCTAAAAGTTTAACGATATAATGATTATTATTAAGGCACAAAAAGTAAAATGAACACTATTAGTTGCCATTGACATTAACCTTAAAGTATAAAAGTGCATTATATTGTTGTTTTACAACTTGAAAACAACTCTTCCATTTTGTAAATAATCTATAATAATAATAATAAAACATCAAATAAATAAATAATTCCATTACATAGTTGTTTTCAATAGTATTTTTTAACCACATAATTTTCGGCAAACAAATTGAATTGATCTCGAAACCGATTACAATGGTTTTGGTATGAATCAATTTCATTAATAGCTATCTACTTTGAACATTTATATTAACTTTTATTAAACAACTCAACTGACATTCTTCAAAGAACAAATCAATCCAGGTGTGCTGGAGAAGAGTTCTTAGATTTGTTTATATATGTGGGATGAATTACTTTTATAATTAGCTTTTCACTTAACTCATAACAAAACTTGAATGATAGCATGAAATCCTGACAACACTATTTTAGTCCTTTACTAAAAACTTGGGAAAATAAAATTTAAAACCATCAAATATCTTATAATCTAACCGTATAAGAAGTTGACGAAAAAAATATACATACAACGCCTCATTTATTTTAAAACTATTATAAAAGTAAATTTTGATATTATAATTACTCAAGTTGTTTTCATTAAATAAATCTTTTTAATATTTTTACGTTTCATTTTTTTTTCTTGTTTTTCAAAAAAATCTAAGTGCACATCTATCCAGGCCCATCGGTATTCTCTATTTTACCCTTAAAAGACGAAATATCTAATGGCGGGAAACACAAGTACCGACAAATTATTTGTACCATTTTCGTCCTCTTTTAATTATCTAACTTCACTAATAATACTTTTAATATATAAATTAATAAAAACAGACCAAAAAATTAAACAGAAATTATGGCAAAAAGGACTAGACAGCCCAAATGTTGTTGGGGAAAAATATTACACCCACTGCCACTGTCCGCTTTTCAGTCAAGCGCATTCGGGCCAGTACAGTAATTTACCACATGATTCCAAACCCACTGCACCAAGAATCTCCGTCGGATCCCGTGCATGTTATACGTGGCACCATCTCTATCGTTCAACATTTGTCCTGTGTAGGACCCACCACCACCGGTACCATAGATGCCCTCACACAGATCGGCTATCTCCACCGGAAACACAGGGTCTTGACCGGCGTACCAAGCATTAATCAATGGGTTCGAAGCCAGCTCCGAGATTTCATGAGCTATCACACTGATCATCCCGTCGATTCCGACGTTTCCGTTCGGCGATTTCATCGGTTTTAGCCCCGGGATGTAGTCGGGAACGGCGAAGGGGTATGCACAGACACCGGGACAGAACTTCCCGGAGTTGCCAATCCAGGCGTAGGGTAAAGTGTACCCTACGATGGACGGGTATGTGAAATAGTGGAATCCACATACGTTCTGGCAGAAATCCTGAACGTACACGTCATCGGCGGTGAGTAACAGGTAGAGTCCACTTTTAGGGCTTATCGGCAAGGGTTTTGTTTTAGCAGTCACGGCAGCTTTTATCACCGATTGAACGGAGAGACGAGTGAGTTTTTTACCGTGAGAAAGTAGCCGGTCGTTTTTCTCTTCGCCGAGACGAACCGTTCGCGAGATGTTGGAACCGGTTTGGTCGGTGTAGAGTTGTACGGTTTTCCACCAACCGGAAACCGACGGTGACTGGGCGGAGGTGGCGGAGATGGAGTTGATGAACTCACGAATAATGCGTTTCTGAGCCTTAGGCCAGGTTCCGTACCAGATAATGTGTACGGTTATGTTAGCAGTGAGAACGGGCCCCATGTGGTACCGGAGTTTGACAAACTCCGACGACCCTTCGTACTTTTTTGAGCCTCCGAATTCGAGCTCCGTCGCGTTGTTTCTATGGTGCGGCCATGGACGCCATGCGATAGAGGGGTGAATGAGGAGTAATGCAGAGAGGACGGCGAGGATGAGGAGCGGTGGCGCCGGTGAACGGGGATTGGTTACACACCACCGGCTCATTTTTTGTAGATAGTGTATTTGCTGATGGAAGCACGAATCGTAAAATGGTGAGACGTGTATATATATAAGAAAAAGATTTTGCGCTGAAATTGCAATTTACTATCCTTGAGTTTTAATTCTACGGGTTTTCCCTTATTGAATTGTCTAATGCATTCTTAGTACCTTGTATTTTGAAAGTAATTAATTGTCCTTTTTCTTATTTTGGCAAAAGAATATAATGGATGTTTGGATTTGAGTTTGAAAATAAAAGTTAGTTTTTTGGTAAATATATTTATTAGATTATGTGATAATAAAGTCAATAATTCAACTTTATTTTTATTTATTTTTATTCTATTAGATGTGAAACTCGTATAGTATACAGATTAACTTAAGAAAAAAAATATATAAGTGTAACATTAAACATTTATTTACAAAACTCTTAATAAACATTAGATTTGTTATGACTAACAGTTTGTCAGAGTAAGATGCAACAAAACTTTTAATTTATTCGGAATGTAATTTATGAGTCATTTATAAAGAAATTTCAACAAAATTTATGAGTCTTAATCAAATTTATTTAAATTATATTTTTTGCTTGATAACTAATTGTTATAGTAAAACACAAAAGCAATGTGTTAAATTTGGTTAACTGGTTTACTAAAAATGTCTTATAAAGGGATGTATTTTCTATTTAATCATATTAGATTAACCAATTGCATGTCATTAACTTTTACTTTGTAATTTATAAAGAAAATAGGTCTACTTTTATTTTGTAAAATTATTAAAGGATTAAGATGAATATTGATTCAAGAGAAAGAAAAAAAACAGAGTCCACATAAAGAAAAAACAGAGTCAACATCTTAAACATGTCTACCTATATAATAAAGATATAATTAGATTGTTGTTATTGGATAAAAAGAAAAGTATGTTGCTTTTTTTTGGTTTAAAGGATAATTATATTTCTATTATTGATCAAAAAGATAAATAATATTTTTATTATTGGTGAAAAAAGAAAAGTAAGTTGCTTTTATTAGTCAAACGGGTAAGTAGGTTGTTATTGCAGGTTAAAAAGACACGTATATTGCTCTTAATCGTTATGAAGACACATATGTTGGTATTATTTGTTATAAACTATAATGTACTTCATAATAACATTATACATACATCTTTTTTACAAAATCTACAGATTGTCATGAAAAATGTCATATTGGCATGTTAAGGGGCATATGTATATTGCTCTTAATCATTATGAAGACACATACGTTACTATTATTTGTTATAAAATATAATGTACTTCATAATAACATTATACATACATCTTTTTTACAAAATATGTAGATTGTCATTAAAAATGCCATATGGCATGTTAAGGGAAATATGATGTGTGGATATGAAAACATAATTGCAATTCCAGATCATTCAATTTTTTGGGGTTTACACCATTTGAAAAAAAACATTAATCCCTAACCTTATTTGAATTAAGAATTAACTTATGCAATACTTTCAATTTCTATTTTATCCTGCTTCATGGAACCATGAAACCAGGAACTACCAGGTATAAATTTCATAGGATACCAAGGTACCATAACCTCCTACATCATTAAAGGGGAAGCAAATTTACATGAGATATTCATAAAAATAAAACCAGAGTGATTTCCATTTCTAATTTAAAGCATTAAGAATTTCGTATTGATAGCCCGAAAATCAAACACATGCCCAAAAACTGCACAAAGGCAAGGCTCATGCAACTCTGTTGCGTAGTAACAAAGTATTAAACTACTTGTAAAAATGAACACATCTTTAACCAGAAATTCCATGGATATTTGATAGCACAATCAAGCATCATGTATCTACATAATCAACAATTGGAATATGCATGTTGGGCATAACCATAAAAAAATGTGTTGTTATTTTATCCAGTTTTCCCGATAAGATTGGCAAAAGCAATGAAGATGGCAGTAAAAACAATACCATAATTAATGAGGAGCGAGCTGTTTTTATAAAATGATCAATACTTTTAAAAGTACTATTTTATGCTTAAAAGTAATATTTTTCCCCGAACTTTAAAATTTTCTTGTTTAGCGCATACTTTCAAACATTCAAACTCATTGTTTGATTAAAGTAGAGCTACGATTAAATTTTATGCACTATAATGGCAAAACAAAAGGAGTGTTTACCTTTCATGATTCAAGAAATGGATCCAGTTGGAAAAAAATATATTCATGTTTCCATCCATATTAGAGATGGAAACAACTTCTGATTCATCCATTAGTGAAATAGCCACAAGTCATATGTGTCACGAAATGTCCACTGGTCTTGATTTCATTTCACCATATAACTTTAGTAACTAATCATATGATCTTATAACTTTAACTAAATCAAGTTGAAGTAGCAGCACAAGCATACAACACAACCAAGATCATGATACAAAGCCAACATTAGAACTCACCCCAGGAAAAGCAAGAGCTACCAACTTCCTTTGACCATCAGACAATTTCTCACCTAATGTCTGAGTCGTAGATGATGCTGAATTTATTGCTTCCTGACAATCACCAAAATATCAAATTTCAAAGGGTAACATATTAATAATGGTTAGAATAAATAAACAAAAAGAAATGTCAATATGTATGATTCTTTACCCTTGAAGCAATTGCCAAAGGAGAATGTGTGGTCTCAATTTTCTATAGAGTTGTAGTTGTATGTTCCACCGTTTCCTTTTGAAATGAGGCATCAACTTGATATAATAGATTCTTACAAGACATCTCAAAAGTTGGGACAACTGAATCATCGATACTTTACTTTAATGTTTCGTGTAAGATAAAAAAAAAGGAATTAAACAATAAGCAGAGTTCTAGTACAGGCAAAATCAAACTTGTTGTACCTGGTTTATACCACATTGGTAGTCCACTTGCTCATGTTGCACGAAGCAACTGCAACAAGTATAAGTTCAATATTATATGACATTTATATAACGATTATAATTTTATGGGTTTCCAAAAAAATTAGATATTAAACCAAAATACTAATTTCCAGATATACTACCAGGTTATAAAATAAAGCAACAAATTAGACAAAAGATGCCTAAAAATCTTAGGAATCAAACACGAATGAACACAATCAATAGGTTATGGGTTTAAGTTTGGGAGTGAAAATCAATAATAATCTAAAACCAAATTGATTTTGAGATTTGCTACAAACCCAATGGCACCTAAAATCTAGGATGAAATTACGAACCTGTTTCACTTCAAATCACCAGAAATTACATATTTATACACGAGATCACTTCGATCGTTCAAACTCAGGGTTTCCTGCGTCCAAAAATCGAAAATCATATCTAGATATATTAATTGAGGAGGCGGTGATTTTTCTGAAAGTTAGGCCGCTAATATCAAATTGAATGAAAATCTGAGGAGAGGAAGATGATTGCAGACCTAATTGATGATATAGCACTTCAGATGGAAACTCCTATCAATTTACTACATCAATAATTCAAAATTCGTAAAATGATAGCTGATTTGGCAGGCCTAGATACAGAGAATGCAATTCTCCCATGAAGTAACTTGAAGGGTTACAAAATTCCATGATCGAAAGAAAAACGTAATTAAAGTTTTACGACATACTAAAATTAGATAGCTATTATAGTCAACATTACGTATAATATATATTCGAATTTTCCCCTATTCATACATAAATATCGAGACAAAGAGATAGACATGAATACATGAATTTTGTATACGACAAAGTGGAAGAATATATGTTATTTGAATATAAATAGGAATATATTTGTATTCTACAAATTGAATTATGAATGAATTCGACACATAGAGATAGAAAGGAGCGCGTCTTACCTTCTTTAGTTGTTACTGTAGACGAGGATGATTATGGCGAAGAAATTATATCAAAGTAATCTCAATTCTAGAAGGAAGATTGTAACACCCGTGACTTGAGGTAATGATAATTATTCAATTTCTTTGTAGTAATTGTTGGACTATGAGATTAATGTTGGATTATTGAGTTAGGATCTTAGTGAGTGGGTCGTCATATATTTGGGTTGTTTGAAGACGTATGTTGGGCATTAGATTGGCGTAACATTGGATGTGGGGGGTCGATACGCGTACGCGCAGCGTACACGAGCAGACTCAAAACCCTAATTTTTAGGGTTTAAGCCATATAAATACCTCATTATATCCCAAACCCTAGCCTCCTTGCCAACCACCTTGACTCATAAACCCTGTAAACCTAACCTTCTTCATCTTTGTGTGATTTTGATCTTGTAAAGTCTATTTTAGTGGCTTAAAGCTTGGAAGGAGAAAGAATAAGTTGGTGAAGAAGAACTTGAGTAGCTTGAGCTCAAGGATCTGAGATATCATCACCATTTAGCACTCATTTGAGGTAAAAAGCTCACAACTTTCCTCATGTATGCTTAGTTCTATGATAATGGTGTTTTTGACCTTTTTCTTCCCAAAAAAGGATATTTATGGTCCAAATATGTTTCTAGGCTTATGGTTGCCACTATTAGTTCTATATGAGTCCCATAGACAAAAAAGTTATCATCTCGAAGGTCTTATTGTTGCCATGCATGAGTTTTAGTCATTTCCATGGAAGTTAGTTTCCATATTTCAAGTTTGGGTCCATTTGGTGGGTTGCAAGCCACCAAGTAATCGAGTTTATGGATTAAGACACTTTATTAGACTTAAATCTACATTTATAGCTTAAGGTCTTAAGGGATTAAGCCTTTTTGGATTTTATGGCTTAACAGGTTAGTACGTTGGGCGTACAAGCCCATACGCACAACATACAAGCCATGCAAGCTGTACGCTTAGCGTATATAGGAGTATGCCCCATGTACTCACTGGATATGGGTTTTTGTCATTTGGGCCTTGGTTCGAGCCGATCCATGGACTTTGTCATTATGGGCTATAATGGGCCATCATAAATCAATTATTGGACTAAGGACATGTTTGGGCTTAAGGGAATGCCCTTTTGAGGAGTTGGGCCCAATTTAGAAAATTGGGCCATAA